AGTCTGAAAGGTGAACGAATCACACACACAACGCAACAGCTGCTGTCGCCTTTTGTCAAGTCTCCCAAAGCCAGAAATAACATTTGTAAATTCTCCCTGAAGAGGAATGCTGTCTTTGTTGTGTTGTAGCGATGGCTCATTGCAAGTAGGGTATTCAGACTTTAAGAGCGAGGAAGAGGAAGGAAAAAATAAAAAACAAAGGCACTCTTTTCCTAAAAAAAACAAACAAAACAAATGAAATAAAATCATGTTATTGTATTTTTAGGGGCTAACAGCAAAGCTCTTGAGAAGTCTGGTTTCTCAGATGGTATCTACTCGTCCCTCTTTAAATGGGGAGTTGCCACATCATAAGTTCTGACGTACACGCCATCATTGCACACATACTAATACTGAGACTGCGTACAACATGCAGTGTGTCGCAGCAAAATGCCTGTACTGTAATGTACTGATGCTTGTGCACACGTGCTTTGTTCCCCTTATGAAACAGCGAGATAAAGTTCAATACAATTCAGGTTGTTATATAAAGTTATATAATTCTTTTTAAAGTACCGGGAAAAGGCAGCAGACAATGTTGTTGTGTGTATTCATGCATGCATGTACGCAGAAACGTGCATAGATAATATGCCCAGAGGCCTAACGGCAGCATCCACTCCTCGCTTTTCCATCTGGTGCCATGCTGGCCCTGAGCTTTGACATTCAAAGTAAACATCAATATACATCTGCAAAGATCCACCAATTTTCTCTTCTATAAAGGAGGGAAGAGAGAAAGAATAGAAGTATAGCTGCCAAACAGTGCTGGTCATTGGCAACATCCTGAAACACAAGGACCATGGAATTAAAGCTTTATCTCTGGATTACCACTAAATATAGACGCTTGGGATAAATCCAGCGCAAAGTCCATGCCATGTACGTCCTCTGCTTCCATGTATTGCGTAATGTCATGCTCAGCTTGGTATTAAAATGAGGGTGATGCAGTAGGGGATGTTCATAGATATTTCATTGTGGAAAGAGTGAGTGAATAAGTGAGTGTGTACCTGTTAGTGTGCATATGTGTGAGGCCTGCACTTATCTCTGTCAAGATTACAGGGATGTAATGATGCCTAAAGAAAAATTCTGCTCTGGGCAATTTCTTAAGTCTTTAATTCCGGTTTCAAAACATTTTAAATGTATTATTTTTGTCCACAAAAAAAAAGGCAATTTGACTCCACAACTGAGTTCAAAACCTTCAAGCGTGGAAACAGCAGGCTGAGTAATTGTGCATGCATGTGTACATGTATGTGCAACAACTTCAGAACTAGTTAGTTCATTATGTGATTAGATGACAGGATTTAGTTGTTGTATCCATAAATACCTTTAAAAGCAGGCAGTTTCTGCAGCTCCCTGTTGTTGCTCAAGCTGAAGCGAGAGGAGCTCTGTCTCTTGTCCTTTTTGACAGGTGTCTGCGAACCTGGCTGCTTCCCCTTTAGCAGCTGAGTGGTGGGAGGAACACTATTGCTAGCCTTCCTGTTCGAGCTCTGCTGAAACAAGAGAAAAAACCACATCAGTGTCACTGAGGTAGCGCAAGTGAATAAAAGAGAGTGCAAGTAACCTCCTTAGAAATCTGATTAAACTGTGTGCATGCAGCCACTAGCCGTGCAGTGTGACTGCCATACACCATGGGACGTTTTTTCTTCATACAGTATTTAATTTACAAAACAGTGCCTTGCATTATGTAACTAAGGTCATGAACCACACTTAACCCAATAGAAATACTACACATACTATGTATAACAGTACCTTTATTCATTTATTTGAGGAACTCTTCAAGTTCACAAGAAAAAAAACAAATCATTAAGATTTTTGTAACCACTTCAAAAAACCAGAAGGGTTTGTAGGGCTGGATATAATCCTGATGTGGGACCAACTGAATGTGGCATGTTTCTCACAGCTGGTCCCACCTGCCTGCTGGGATCCATTCATCAACACACACCTGATGGCACAAAGCTTACTTCAACAGATGCAGCTGTGGAGCTGTTTCAGTCGGAGTCACGGGGGAATTATTACATTCATTTAAGACTCAGCTAAAGTTGGCCACAGTCTGCAGCACTAGACGGGAGCTTAGGAGCTGGGCATGCAAGCTGTCAGGTAAAGTGGGAAATAAGGCTGAGCTGGCCTCTATTATAAACTAGATTCCATATTCATGTGATGAAGAAAATAGGAGTTAACTCTTCTACTTGTGAGTTCATTAAGCCGAAGTGGAAACATCTGCCATCTATGATTTTATAATTGAATGAACTGAATGTATGTCATCGCTGATATGGTACCGAGGCAGCAATTTAAGCCGTCCTATATATTATAAACATTCCCTTCAGTCTCATCACTTCTGGTAACCACTTATATGGGATAAAAGGAAGGGTGAGGGGTAACCACGACAGCTTGCAGCCGAGCAATTTCAATCTGTCACACGGCTGGTGCAGTAGTAGATCTGTTACTTGGCTGCTGACACACAACAGCAATCCTGATTGCTGCTATCACTTGCTATTATCCAGCAAGAGAAGGCCGGGAGGCTGAAGACAAAAAGCTAACAGTGGAGGGAACACGTAGAAACATTTTGCATAACTCATTTCCATTAAGTCAAAGAGTAAAAAAAAAAACAATTTTGTGAGACATACATTAAAGTGACATTTAAATAAAATACATAACAAATTCTTAAATGGGTTTCAAAATAGATGATTTCTTTAAGCCTTATAACTGACACGTGTGCAACTGGACAGTATATTATAGCAGCCACTTAAATACAAACAGGTGTTGAACCAGCCTTACAGTATGATTATTAAAAGTCTAGGAGGAGGAGGAGGAGGAGGACCTCCTTTTGCTTTTCAAATTGCACAAACAGATGTCAGCTGTCATACCAGATCTGAAATGAGTGCATCAAGATTTTACTTCCAGTAAAAAAGAAAAGCACAGAGTTGTTTGAAGAATGAACGAAGTTGAAATCTTTCCATAATGGTTCAGTGATGTTTAGATATGGTGATAAAAGAGGTTGTGGAAGACGTTGGATCCGTTGTTTGTTGAATTTTTTAACAGATGCATTTTATCTTGGAACAGAGGTAAATCATGAGAACAGTGTCCAAACCATACTGTAAACCTCAGCACCTGGTCCCTACTCAATGCCCTCGTACTGTTTTACAAACACAGTACATGACCATGTAGCGCACTAATGTGACATTATGATCAAACCCAAATGTTATTACAGGACCAACACAATTTGTCATCCTTCGTTCTCGGTATTCAACATCGGCTCCCCCTTTGGCCTTGCCAGATGTGACCCAATCCAGATGTATGCAAAAAAAGTGTTAGGCTAGTCATATCATATAACCATTTTCCACCATTTTATGACACATCTTGACAACGTGCACACATTGATGCATTAGCTTTTGATACAAGTGGCTTCTGGCAATCTTGTGACAAGTTCCAGCCTGAAGAAGTTCACAACAAACTGTTTTTGTTAGATTTACGACCTCTATTACCTCTGTGATAACCTGTAGAGCGCTCACCATTTCATTTTGTTCACTTAAATACTACCAGTCTTTTTTTGTCAGTTCACATTTGTTCATGAGACTGTTGACCTTGCCCCATCATACATTGATTTCTTTTGTTACAATTAATGGACAAAGCAAGAATGACAGGGACTGTTTAGACTCTCATTGGAACTGTATTGATTGCCTCATGTTATGCTTGAAGTCTGATATTAAAGTAACAACAATAGGATCCCACTAGGTGCTTCATGACTTGCTCATCTAGCTTCCTTCATAATTCTGATTAAATTATATTAGATTATATATTATAAGATTTAAGTCATTTTACATGTCCCCCTGAATTATGGCTGGATAGTAAAGTAGTATGGATTTTTTTACAATACTTCATACCAATTATATTTTATTGATTTTATTCAGTATTAGCCTTTTAACTGTATACTGCAATATACATGGCAGCAGTTCTGGAAAGGATTCGTAAAGTACATTAATACTGAATAAAAGCTTGCACTTTCTTAAGCATTGTGTGACTATTAAACGGTCAAACAGTGGAGACCAGGTTCAGTGTCACATACAAGCAATTTAGCACCAGGTTATCAACAAACAGCGGCATGACTCATCAGAAGGGCAACAATGATCCAGGTACAACCCAATCCTGCCGACGACCGCTCTACTCGTCAACAGAAGCCGGCTAACCTGCCACCCCTAAGCTCCTCAGCACCCTGCCTCTGTGTGAGATTCTCATTTAGAAACGTTCAGTCACAATTCCACTGACTTTTTCACCACCGAGTCCTCAACCTGCGAGCCACAGCTCACTAAACAGGATTCCAGTGGTTACAAGAAATCCTGAGTAGGGAATACTAACATATGTCACTGTGGTCCGAACCTGACACACATTCAGTATTAGTATGTGAACAAAACTGGATGCCTTTTATATCACAGAAGGTCACAAAAGCTGCGATCGAACAGCGAAAAGCCCACTCATTCGATACACGACAAAACTCGGCCACAAGAAGGATTGTGAAGCCAAATACCTTCAAAGAATCATGAGGCCTAAAAGGAGCGAGCTTTTCTCCTCCCACTCCACAGGAGGTTTTCTGCCCTTTTTCCTGCATCTGAGGGCCGGCTTTACTAGTCAAGACCACATCACAAATCACAACCGGGCTTTACCATCTGTACACTGTATAACACCATCTATCCTT